GGGAAGGCCGGTTCAGGCACCACTATTGCTTAGAGCGTTACCTAGGGTCATCCTTATGGCTTCTTGTAAATCTCCTTAATGCCAGGTTTCTCACTAATCCCATAATGGCTCCCTCTATTAAAGTATCTCTTTTCTTCCTCCCCCTCTCTGTCCTTCCCCCAATTGACCATCCCATTTCTTCATGTTTTCCTCCCCCTCCCTTTCCACTCTCCTCCTGCCCCCTTCAACCCTACTCCTCTCCCTCCCATCATGCTCCCAATTTTCTCAAGTGATCTTGTCTATTTCCCCTTCATAGGGGGATCCATGTGTGTCTCTCTTAGGTCACCGTAGCTTCTCTGGGGTTGTAGACTATAGACAGGTTATCCTTTGCTTTATGTCTAATATCCATTTATGAATGAGTACATGTCATGTTTGTCTCTCCAGGTCTGGGTTATCTCACTCAGGATGATTTTGTCTAGATCCATCCATTTGCCTGCAAATTTCAAGATGCCATTTTTTTTAATCACTGAGTAGTACTCCATTATGTAAATGTACCACATTTTCTTTATCCATTCTTTGGTTGAGGGGCATCTAGGTTGCTTCCAGGTTCTGCCTATTATGAATAATGCTGCTATGAACATAGTTGAGCAAATGTCCTTGTGATATGATTATATATCCTTTGGGTATATTCCCAAGAGTGGTATTCTTGGGTCTTGAGGTAGGTTGATTCCCAATTTTCTAAGAAACTGCCATACTGATTTCCAAAGTAGCTGTACAACTTTGCACTTCCAACAGCAATGGAGGAGTGTTCCACTTTCTCCACATCCTCTCTGGCATAAGCTAGCATCAGTGTTTTTGTTTTTGTTTATCTTAACCATTCTGACAGGTGTAAGATGGTGTCTCAGAGTTGTTTTGATTTGCATTTCCCTGGTGACTAAAGATGTTGAGCAATTTCTTAGTCTCTTTCAGCCATTTGAGATTCTTCTCTTGAGAATTCTCTGTTTAGATCTGTATGCTGGGAATATTTCTTAGGGGAAGGAAAGCAGAAAGAGAGATATAGCCAAGTTTTTAATATCCAAAACTGGGAGTTTGTGTAAACTGTGTCAAATCATTTCACCTTAGCCTGGGTTCTCTAGAAGCAAACTCTGCGGCAACAATTTGGTGCTGTTGATTCCCTGGTAGGTATATTCCCAGAAAGTATATGAGATGAAGAAGGAGCCCTGGCAAACAGCTCACAGTAATATGCTGCCAAGCTATCCACTGTTTTCTGTGTATCAGAGGCAGGCTGCTTAGGATGTGTATTACATTCATGGCCATACACAGCCAAGCAACATCAGATCATAGTTTGAAACAGTCTGTCAGGGTGATGGAGGTATCAGAAATTATATTTCCACTCTCTGTTGCACTGACCAAAATCCACTCCACAGGAGACCAACCTCTTCAGTGTTTCATGGGGCTCCATTGACAGGTTCTGAGAGCAACATTGTATCCCACAGTGTGGCTCTGCATCCAAATTCAGAAGTAGCTTTAGAATCCAGAAAGTCCAGGTGTATGGAAGTGAGTGGTGGCCAAGGAGAAGACCCAGTTCATTTGGGCAAGCAAAAGATTTGTAGGAAGCAAAAGACAAGTAGGAAGAAGAGCTGTGAGGACTCAGGTACAATAACTGATCAAGGTAGATATGTGAGGAGTGGCCCTTTGGAGGCACAACTCAAAGTGAAATCTTAGTGAAAGCTAATGGCTGAGCCCCAGGAGATCAATGCTCCTGGAGAATCTATGGAAGTGATTAAGATATTTTAAATAAGTATAAGTTTTAAGCCATACACACAGATGCCTGCTTGAAAACTCGGGTAAAGTGAGTTATCTTTGAGACAGAGGAAGGAAGGTCCACAGTACCTTCTCTCAACATCCTCCATGCTGACATTGGAAGCACAGTGTGCTTGCCATATAATGAAAGTAAATTATTTGGATTTCTTCTTAAATAGCCATTCAAGGGTCTTTGGCTTTGTGTTGTTTTTTTTAAGGTGAATAAGTAATAATATTTCATTACCTTTAAGATAAACTTGTTCTTTTAGGGTTTTAGTTTATAGAACTGCAAAGAAAGACACACTTGTAAACATGGATAGAGTTATCTCAAATTGTGAGATTGGGGATTCTGAAAACTCGGAGTTAATCTAGAGAAATTAGCTCATAACTGCTGATGAGAAAAATGAAATTCAAGAGGGAAAGTTGTCTTGGGAAAGGTCATACAACTAATTAGTAGGAACAGAGTCCTGGAACTAAGAAAATGACTCTGGGCTTTTCATCTCTGTCAAATATTTTTGGAGTTCATGAATTTACATTACTGCTTTATAAAAAAAAATAATTTTGTGTTTTCATTTTTGAAAAGCATCCTTTATGCCTAGGTCCCCTGGATAATCACTTACTTCCATAGATCATCTAGGATGAATTCTTCCCTTGTGGGGGGTATACAGTCTAGAAGAGTCACATACAAGCACTTTATCCCACATCAATTAGTAGACTATATTCACAGGGCAGTAGACTATGCCACAAGGGTTCTGTGTTTGTACATATTTGTTCAAAAACTGAAAGAGAATAGAAAACTCATTTTCTACACCTGATCCCAGTAGTCATTTGATTTGATACGCAGCAATAAAGTTGTGATACAAACTTTATCTTCAAGTTAACAAGACAGTTTGGCTAAGTCATACCAAAATTGACATTTATAGCAGCATCATATTCCTGAGCAGAATTTTAGATAAAGAAGATGTCTGAGTAACCATGGTGAAAACCTCCCATCTTTTAACATTTAACACGCCCATATCCAGCATATTATTGTTTTCTATATTAAAACTAGAACAGTCAAAATGCTGAAGCCATATACATGGTTCTTCTGTGATCATATTCAATGCTGAAGTTTCAGTTGATGAAGATAAAATATTTCTATAAATGTATCTTGTTTAAATTTTACGAGTTTCATAGTCTTTCTTTCTTTTTATTTTTTCTTTTCTTGTTTTGTTTTTCAAGAGAGGGTTTCTCTGAGTAACAATCCTAGTTGTCCTAGAACTCGCTTTGTAGACCAGGCTATCCTCAAACTCACTGAGATCCTCCTGCCTCTGCCTCCAAGGTGCTGGTATAAAAGGTGTGTGCCACCATCATCCAGCAGTGGCTTTTAAATTTTAATTTGTGCAATGTACTTGTCTTATAAGAACAAGCATAGCTTTCTTCCCTAACTTATGTCTAGTTTAAAAATATTGAAATAAAAACAACACAGTTCTATATGTAACAAATGTCTGGATGTCTCTGAGGGTTACTGCTAACTGCACACTTTCCTCCAAGAATGCCATTACTCAGCAACAGACTTAGAGAGAATGTTTGGCTCTTCCATTTCAGAGGCCCAGGTACTGGCTCTGGTCATTGACTCTGTGTGTGTGTTCATTTACATCATGTGACTTCCCTGCCAGTCAGTTTTTCATTGGCAAGACATCCAAATGCTTAATACCTATTGGAATAGAGTAATTAAGTAAAACATGTCAGCTACTTACCTGCAGGCAGAGTTCACTAATTCAGGGAATATGTGTTCTGTATTCAAAATTATTATATTTAGAATCAAACTTTTATGTGGCCCAACACATAACCACATGTATATGCATGAGTTCTCTCTCACACACACACAGACACACAGACACACACACACACAATAAATCTATGGGTGTGTTTCCTTCTTAAAGTTGCCAGTTTACAATTTCTAGAGGAAGTAACCTTGAGCACACTTTCTTCAACCCTGATGATGCCTGTAATGACTCTGAAGGAAAGGAAGCCAAATCATCTGCACAGCCTATGCAAAGTGGTCATGAGTTTGGAAGGGAAATGTCCAGAAGGCTTCAGTGTATCCAGTGCTTTTCTGGATATGGCAAGGCTGTATCCTATGAAGGACTAAGGGAAGGAAGGGTCTGGGAAGTGCATGATCAAACTAAGCTGGGGGTGGGATGGGGAACAAAAAGAAACAAAGTGAATGAAAGACCCTTGTTGGTCCCAGCTGTACCCTGTTAACATTCTGTCTGGATCACAATCCCTACTCAGTCATCTAGTGTTCTGCTCCTAACCATAACCAGAGAGTTGTTCACATTCAGTAAGGCCAGGCACTGTACTATAGAGCTGGTGAAGTCTCTAAAATCATTTTCATCTTCCTCCCTTCATTAGCTATTACATTTGAGTAATTCAGTTTACTCTAGATGTTATTGAAAACTCAATTCTAATTATAATTGGAATATTAGATAAAGCATTTGATATTGTGTGGGCTTTTTTTACATTTAAGGAGAATAAGTGATAGTATTTTTATTAGAATGTTATATTAATGGAGTCTTGTGAGGGTTCTGGTATCTAGTCTAGCATTTGGAAGGCATATTTCAGAATTGTACAGACTAATTTCTAGCACTCTTAATGATAGAATTTAGCACTTACCCTGTGTCTAGTCATAGACAGTGTTAATGCTGTGGACAAAATAAAAGTAAAAGACAGTCTTCAATTCAGTTTGTAAAAATCGCATAAGAAAGATTTTGAATTCAGTATAGTCTATGAAGACTTACCTCATTATGAAACCCTGGGAGGATACATTTAGAATTAGTGAGTGTGCTATAAGTATAATTTTTAAAATGTAAAACCTAACCTCTCCATAGTCAATGTTCTATTCGATGACATTTATGAATAGGGAGGAGGTATCACATAATGGCAAAAGTGGCATAGAAACTCAGGCTTTTGGTCTGCGAAATTCCACCAATTCATGAACATGCTATCAGAGGATATAATGATTCAACATCACCTGATGTTGTATCTTACAGGAAATAAGCAATTAAAAGTTCTGTGATAGCCAGAGCCTGAGTTTTGTAAAGAAAGGCGGTTGATCTTCTTCCACTTTCCAAGGTGGTATTTCTATTGCTTTATCTCTCACAGGGCTCTGACAAACCCGTGTCTGTTTGATGTGGTAAAATTGCCACTTGCTAATTCAAAACATTTGTTTCTAGGTGCCAGGTTGACCTGTCGTCCCTCAGTAGGGAGCAAACGCACAAGCTGGAGTTACAGCTGGAGGAGGGTGAAGGCCACCTGGTCCTGCTTGTCACTCTGACAGCCTCGGCCACAGTCAGTATCTCCGACCTCTCTGTCCACTCCCTGGAGGACCAGAAGGAGCGGGGGGAAATATTAAAGAGATATGTACGTATGCAAAGAGCTTCCTCCCAGCCCATGTGTGACTAGATGAGGTTGCACACAAGGTGCCCAGAAAGACAAGTGGTTTTCCAAGGGAGGTGTTTGAGGAGCAGAGGGTGGGCCCATGTAGATGCCATGCATTGCCTGCTGATGTAGCTTGGTCATCTCCATAACCCATTTCAGAGTACATTCTGGATTCTAAGGTTCTGCCTTGTGATCTTTATCATATTGAGAATCTTTCCTTAAAGGAACTCACATTTACACATCCCTTTATTATTGATCCCTGGCCCTGTGTAACTTCAAGCAAGACTTGAAATCTAAAATGAGGTTATTGGCACAGTGAGAAGCTGGGAATTAGAGGATATCCACAGCGTGAAGTTTACTGCTCAGAAAAGCCTGACTGCATTTGGTCAGTATGAAAGTCACCGTGAAATGCTATCAAAAGGTAGCCCTCTTCATTTCGATTGAATTGGAGTGTGAGAGTGAAATGGAGTGCCAATAAATAATTGCCCTTCTCAAATTTTATGTCCTCTAAATAGTCAAATCTTTCAATCTCCCAGCAACTTTCTGGGTGCATTTCCCACCATGTAGTTGTCTTGAATCAACAGAGAGGGGAGCTCTTGCTCCACCATTGTCTCTCAGTGGAGGCTTGGAAAAGTAAATGCCTTGTACCCATGAAGCTAGGGGAAGGCTTTTCCACTTCAAATCACAAAGCTTGTATTGTACAATGCTGCCAGGTGTTTAGACGGCTCCTCTAGACACTCAGCCATGAAACCAAGCTCTGACTAACAAAGAATGGCTTTTTAAAAACTATTCCTATTTGCTGACTGACATCCTTTCAATAACTGAATTTAATAAAGACGTACCTTATCAGGTTGTGCAGCTGACATGAAGTGCCCGTATGAATGCTCTACAATATTCTTCAAACAGATTAGCAGGATGTGCGCCTCAGCAAATCTATTCTGGCTATCTGCACTGAATCAGCTGTCTGCTAATGCTTGTACAACTCATCCACCAACAGTATTATCATAACAGTTTAATAGAGGTGACTTAGCAAGGCTAAACAATGTATATTAAAAAAAACACCTAAGAGCCTAAGTTACTGTATAGTATCTTCTAATATTTATTGCAATTATGAAAATTATTTTACGTTTTGCTATTTCACCAAAAATACATTCTCTAGTTACTGGAAATGAGCTTTCTGAATTAAAACTACCATAAAGGAATTAATTGGTATATTAACATGAAAATTCATCTGGGCATTAATATTCTGTACTTACTGGATCACTATTTTAATACTATCCCATGTATAAAGATGATACTGCTCTCTATATAATTAGAAGTAATCTACCTGTTTTTTATTGATTTTTTTGTTATTGTTGAACGGAGTCCCTTTAATCAGCTATTTCCATTCAGAGTGTGAATGTTTGTTTTCCATCTTTTCCAAAATGATAGCTATTTCAATGAAATGTAAAATGTTATGTTTGGCATCTCAGCTAATTCTCAGGTTATATTCTGCCCAATGCATTAAAAGGTAAATCTTGTTTAAAATATGCTTCTTTGTAACCCAGAATTTCAGGCAGACACTGGTCTCCCTCTCCCTCTTGAGACACACTTGCTAAGAAGAATCCATAGCACAGAATAGTGCATGTGCTACATTAGGGTTAACTCACAACAGTACAAGGACAAAGAGCAACATCTTGGCAGATGTATAAAATACACTAAGTATTTTATACTTGTATATCATGAAATGAATGAATTTTGTATGATATCTAATATACCTCTTGTTTTGATGAAACATGTAAAGGAGATTACTGTTCAGCAAATTATTTCTGTGTTTTCCTTTAAAAATGCACGTGTGTGTGTGTGTGTGTGTGTGTGTGTGTGTGTGTGTGTGTATTTAAGGTGGAGGTAAACTTAAGAATTTGATTTGGTTTTGATTTTGTGCTGGTCAGGGTAGGGAAGTAATAAATTGTCCCACTCTGATATGAAACAGCCCTAGAGAATCTTGTCATTGCTCAGCACTGAGACCCCACAAATTAAACAGATATTCCTGAGTGAGCTACTATTTGATCACCACATTCTGAAAAGTTGGCTAATTCCATTTTCCTGTTCTTTTCTTCTTTGGAGGAGGGGGGAGAAAAGGGAAGGTCAGTAGGGGCTGGTAGTAATGGGTAAGAGTCCAAGAGCTGCTGTTTGACCTTTTCAGAACGGGTTTGCTGAACCCCTGCTCCTCCTTGTCACAGTTTAAAAACCAGAGGAGCTAGTTTAGAGAAGAAGTTGTTAGCATTCCATTTTTATTATGACATTTCACAGTCATCTGATTTAATGTCCCTTGACCGGATTGTCCACCGTGAGACGATGGGCTTGAAATGTTATTTAGAGCGTTGATAAAAGGTGAGCGGTTCTAAGATGACAGCAAGTCATAAGGCTGGTGGTGTGACATTAATTTTCTCCATAACAGAGATGGAATAAGACGTCATGGTGACAAGCTGTCAATCAGTTCTGGCCCCTCAGAGCATCTCCGTACCATAGGATGGGGTATTGCCTCTCCCGTAATAGAGCTGAACCGCGATGCTCTCTCTGACAGCTGCTGCAGCCATAGAGAAAATATATTATACAGCCTTTCATTAAAAAAATAAAGAGGAGTCCTCTCTGGAGCATTTCAATCTCTTCCCATCTACTGAGGGCTGAAAGGATTCTCGGCAAATCATGGATTCCTCTGCTATGGAAATTTCTGCCTTCAAAAGCCATCCAGGTTTTGAGGCCTTCTAAAATAACCGTAAATAACAACATGGGAACACTCCTTGATACAGCTTTTCATAAAATTACAGTTTTAAACTGGTATTTATTTGCTTTTACTTTGAGTTCTTATTATAATCTCTATGTCACTGGCCTGAACAGTAGAAATTCACAATAAATTGTCAAATGTCAAGTGACTTGGAGAGTGAAACCTTCAAACTATAATCACCCCTCCAAATGCGAAGCAGAGCTCCAGGACTGAAGCCCCCAAGACAGTGGGGCCGTGGCCGTTTGGTCAGCTTCCCAGAGCAAAATGTTCTGACTGATGATATTTGTTTTAGTCACAGTGAAACTTGGTTTGAATTACTCCTGAAAAAGGGAAAGTGCTGAACCTTTTTGATGAAAGCACCCCAGTCTTTGGGGAAGAATTCCTGCTGGGTTAATACATTCAGTGAGCTCTGAGGGAGTCCCTCCCCAACTGTTTCAGTACTGAAGGACACAGCACACCCAGAAGCCTCTGAACCACAGCATCGCTGCCTGAAGTCCCCACTGATAAACCTTTGATTTGTAGATTTAAAAAGAGAGACAAGTGCATTTTTACTAAATCTAATCAAATGGGCCTTTAACATGAATTTTGGTGATAAATAGTTGTTTATGATTAGAGATTAAGACGTAATCTTCCTTACTAAGCAGTGTTTTTACAAAGTCATGCTATAAGATTACACATGTATCTGTATTTATTCCTTTCAGTAAACCAAGGTCAAAGTTTCAATGTAAATAATGACTGGCCATCAAGGCTGATAAAGTTGGTATTGTAGAAGCTTTGGCTTGTGTATACCCTCCACTAGGAGATTGGTTTTAGTCTAGCAACATTTTGATAGATAACTTTTTATGCAGAAGCATATTAAAGTGTCTTGTCATGAAACATTTTAAAGATGGTGAGAAATTAAGTGTCTTTGGTTTACTCTATAGAAGCAGTGGCCTTACCATAAGAAAAACAATATGAAATATAAACAAAATGCATAACAATGCTACAGAGTTTTGTTTTCTTTACAGACTCATTAGATCTTAGTTCATTATGTTGAATTTCTGCCGTTAGTTACTTCAGTACTTAATAAGACATCACAATCATTTTTTTTATTTTATCATCATGCTTTTCTATCAAAAACTCCACAGTTCTATACATTATAGCAAATACAAATATAAAATTAAGAAAAATTTCTCACCACCTTTGAGTTTATTTTGTTAATTTGATTTGTTTTTTAAAATATCTCCCTTATAATTTTTATAAAACTGTACATGTCTTTGAATGAACTATTAGCAAAGTCTTTAGATCATTTACCCCTTATCTAAGCACTAAGAATAAAATGGTAGAAAAATTGACTTTCTAAATAACTGTCCCTGCCTGAGGAGTGTTGCATAAACAGTCACATAGGAGTTAATATTACTCATTATCATCTTCAAAATATCATATTTACAAATGAAAGATTTGTGAAGTTCTTCAATGGAAGATGTTGAGTGAGGCCATCTTCTGAGTGTTACTTATCAATAGTAACGGTGGTATTTTTATTTCATAAAATCACCACTAGTTACGTGTGTGTGTGTGTGTGTGTGTGTGTGTGTGCTTGTGCATGCATGCACACATGTGCATGGATGTGCACGGATGTGTGCATACATTTGTGTGTATTTCTGATGTTGGAAGTATCATTTGTATTGGAAAAGAACAAATGGACTTTTGACCCCACAAAGGCATCCTAAGAAAAATTAAGTGTTTTCTAAGACTTCTTTAAGTCTTAGAAAATCTAAGACTTCTTTAGATTTCTTTTCCTAATGCCCATGTTTGGGTTTTCCAGAGTCCACTGAGGATATTTAACAACCTAAAAGATGTGGGATTTCTCCAGGTGAGAGTCATCAGGGCTGAAGGTTTGATGGCTGCTGATGTCACAGGTAGGAGCTGATGCAATCCCCTATTGTATAGATCAAAGGTGTGCCAAGTCTGCATAATGAAATAATCCAGCCCTGCATTTTATCTCAGCAGGTCATTGAAGTCATACATTTAAAAGGAAAGATTCAAAGTTGATCTCACAAAACAGATAATTTCCAGATGCCTACACAGTTCTATATTTTAAACAGGGTAATACACTAACAATAATAATAAAAACCAAAATAACTTCTGAATTATTGCTCTTCCAAAGTTTAATCAATGTAGTGGGATCAACATGTCCAGGTATTTTCATTTTGGCATATGGAAGCAACAGACAGTCATTTTCTATTACTTATCAGCAGCTCTGCACAAAATGTAAATACTTGTAAGTCAAACACTCGTGGAATATGTTGCCTCACTCACTGAAAAGTACAGCAATGATTACTATGCACTATTAGGTTCTGCTGTCATTCTCTAGTTACACAAGTTCTTCAGCATACTACAAAAATAATTATGTATCTAAACTGGGGGTATATATTACTTTCCATGCAGAATATTGGCATATAAAAACAACAAAATGAGTCAGTATGGCTGTTTATTCAACATATTAATAAATGAGATGATGGTGTTTATATCATCAAACTACAAAGTTAATTAATTATTTTGTTTGGAGCCATGACCATTCATTGGTCATTTAATTCCATAATGATTTGAGAGATGTTCATACCATCCATTGAGTTACCTATCTAAAATTGGATGGCAAGATAGGACTGACTTGCCAGGTCCATGGAAATCTCACCATGCTAAGAAACATCGGCTTATTATTTGTAGAAATAAGCATATCATTCTAAATGTTAAGCAAGATGGTACTGATGAGACTTATTTAAATAAAATACTATCTTTTTTAAATTTAATGGTCTGAAAATCACCGTGCTCTTCTTTAATTCATCCAGCATTATTGAGAACAGATTAAAAGATAATTCCCTTCAAAATTAAATAGCAGATGTTTGCTCCAAAATAGCAATATTTAAAATTTTCATATTTGTATATCACCAAATGAGTATAACATTTGGCAGATATAAAAATATTAGGGATTTATAATTTCTTTAAAAAGGTAATCATTAACTCATTCGTAACGAAAGACAGTAGCACTTTAAAATATAAGTATGGATACTTGAGAACAGTGGGACTAGGGGTAGCTGTAATCTTTCAGTGTGAGCTACCTCAGAACGTGGTGGTAAAAAAAAAATTGTGAATGGTGAGTTTATTCATTTTCTTTCTTAAGGACTTGGTTTCTTATATAGTTACCAGTGAATTAATCTGTGCACAATAATTTCTTTTGGAAAAATTCACATACCTGTTATTTCAAACACTTAGCTACCTGCCATTATTCAAGCTGAATGCAATTGTATAAGTTTGTCTCCTCTTGGAAAGAAGCTGTCATCGATTTTAAAACTTCATGAATATGCAGACTAGGTTAACCTACTTGGCCTGTATGCCACTATGGAAGTTAAAGTACATGTTCTTTCAAACTTGGAAAAAATAGAGATATTTCTCTCTTAATGGTTCTATGTAAATCAATGTGAATAACAATAGCCTTTCTGCTGGAGATTCAATGAGATATAATTTTTATTTGATAAAGTGAACATTAATTTGGGAATCCTGAATAACTGAATCTCAATTTTTCTCTTTAGTTTCATGGATATAAATCTAATGATTCCTCATTCTGTGCTGACCTTATAATCTAATGGGCTAGGGACTGAACAAGAGAGATGTTGAACTATTCAGGGCCAAGTGGATAATTTTGTCTTTGACCTTGCTCACCCTTGGACTATCTGTGGTTTTTATGACATTTGTGATGGTGGCAAAAAGTACAGGCCATGTGTTTAAGTCAGGAATATCCAAATATACTATTAATTTAAACAGTAATACTACTTATGAAAGTATAAATAATTTTTAGGACACAAATAGGTTCTTCATGTGACTGTCTTTTACTCATAGAACTTTGAAAAGTTGATGTCCATCTTAATGGTTAATGACAGTCAAGCGCTGCCTAATGTGCAGCAAAAGGGAAAAGACATACATCTAGAGTCGGTCCCAACCTGCCCGGTGCTGTGACCTGTCAATACACACAGTCCCTCATGTTGTGGTGACCCCAACAAATTATTTTTGTTACTACCTCATAACTGCAAGTTTGCTACTCTTATGAATTGTTATGTAAATGTTTTTGGAGACAGAAGCTTGCCAAAGGGGTTGTGACCTACAGGTTGAGAACCCCTGTTCTAGAAACTTGTAGCTGGATGAAGGAGATTTTAAAATCATGAGTAATTCTCTATGCTAAGCCAGGAATACTTTCTGACCCAGTCCAAATAAAGCTGTAGTTGGGAGATATTTGGCATCAGAATACTTCTTTTCTACAGAAATCTAACAAGACAAACTTAACACGACCAACTTTCATATATTTCTAAAATGCTTTTAATCTTTACAACATAAAGTCACATAATGTAAGCATGATTTTTAATTAATATTCCAACATTAAATGAGCTCAGGAGAGATTCTGTAACTTTTAAGTAGCCATCAATCTTACTGTAGTTACAAAGAATTTTTCCCTTTCAAAATGTAAAATTTTTCTTTTGTTACAACACATTCATTGAGAAACATTGTGATACTGTGTTAACTCTGTGTGAATAAAGAGCAATTGAAACTCTTTGAATGAGTGAGTATAAAGCACAAATTACTTTTTAATGAAACCCTCATTTCTTTCCCTTGCCACAAAAAGCCTCTAGCCTTGTTCTGCTGAACACTACTACAGTAGATCACTTCAGTTAAGCCCCTAATAAACTATTGATAGTCAAGGGTAGTTTTTTCTACAGTCTCAATAGGCCAGTGTTGGACAGTGCACTTCAAATCATTAAGGTTAATACAGATTTTAAAAAGAGATTAACTCTGGTAGTTAAGGCCTCAATTTACAACTCCCACACATATGCACACATTGGGCACAGCACAAGAGTGGATTGAAATTTCAGTCAAGTTGTGGACAGCCTTTCACAGCCTGAGAAAGTGTTTGAAGACTTGGTGCACTAAATTCTTCCAAGGGAAAAAGTTTGAGTAACTGAAAATTACTTCTAAGTAGAGCTTACTCACCTTTGACTACCCAATGAGAGGTTCCTGCTTCTCTGTGAGCTCAAAGTCAAAGGTAGACTCCTGTCCTGTTCTCTGGGAAAATTCTTTCCAACACAAAATCACATGTGCCCTAAAATTGGAAATTTTGTGAGAACAGAAAGGCCAACTGGGGAGTGGTGTGTGTGTGTGTGTGTGTGTGTGTGTGTGTGTGTGTGTGTGTGTATGTGTGTGTATGTGTGTGTGTGTTAGGAAATGAAATATTTCAGGTTTTGTCTTTTTCTTTCCCCTGCTTGTCCTTTAGTAGGGTTTAATTTCTGCTTGGAACAGAGCATTTCAAGTCTTCTGTATTGAGTGAGGCTTTCTCAGCAAGGTGCTTAAACCTGAGAGATGAGTTCTCTGGTTCCAAAAGACAGAAGGGACTGTTCCTCTTCCTCAGCCCCTCTTTCCATTCCCCTCCAGCGTGTGAGTCCTTCTCAGTGCTTTTCTCAACTTTCCCCTGGGTTGTGGTGGCTCCTAACTCCTCATCCTCATTTCCCCAGAGTTGCAGAGGTGTTTGTTCGTTTCTTGTTCTTCCCTTGAAGAGAAGGTCACAACCTCTCCAGGGAGACCAGCCCCTCAGAATAGCAGTACAGGAGAACTGGGAACCCTTCAAAAGAGGTGCTGCCTTGCCACTGTGTTAAAAAGTCCTCTTCCTGATGAACTGGCTTTGCAAATGAATGTGGTACCTCTTCAGGAAGCAAGCAGGAAAGAAGAGAAGGGGGATTTATGATTAATAGTCACTGAAATTGTCCCATTAAGTGAGCATTTCCCCCAAACTAAGCGATAAATAAGACTTGTAGCATGTCAGCCCCGTAGACTAGAAGCAACTAGTTATTAAAGAGAAATGTTTTCTGCACCCTTTATTTGCATAGACTTTTTCCATGCTTTCCTTTTGGAAAAAACTGTCTTCATTGTTGGAAAATATTTAAGTAACAAAACAGCAGAAAAAGACATGCTACAGTTTTATTTTTTTTTTCTTTTCCTATCAGCTTCTGTGATGAGAGTCTTATTATCTTACAAAATAACAGTGAGCAGCTCAGACTCATTAGCAGAGCTAAATTTAAGCCCCGTTTGACAGGCTGCCTAGAAAACATTTTGTTTTGCTGTCTATGGGCTTTAATTAAGATGTGTTCAATTTCAGTCCTCTTCAGTCTAGCCCCCACCCCCAACTTGCTGTGTCACAGACCGGCGATCAGACACTTTTAGATGGTCCGGCCCATGACTTTGACCTTCTGCACAGTCCTGCGTTCCCTGGGGAACCGTTCAACTCATGAGGTCTGATTTCACACTTCCAGGATGCCTCAGCGCTCTTAACAATGACAGGGAGACAAAGCCCTTTAGAGCAGGCCGCATGGGGACTTGTTTAAATTGGAAACCAGAGAGGAGTCAAGGAACAAGGTTAGGGGCTACAGAATAGTGCTTTTAATAAAGAGCTCACAGCTCTGGCTCGGCTCAAAGAGGTCTACCTCTGTACAATTAATTGAGCCATTTATCTGGAGCATCTTAGGCCTCTACTTTCTCACAGAATTGTGTGGTAAATATCAGCTAAGAAGCAAATGAGATATGCATGAAATGAATTTTAACACTTTGATTACTGTGCCTCCAGTCTTCATTAAAAGCAAATTTATTTGTATTTCTGACCTCATTATCAGTAGGCTGCCTGCATTTTTATTGGTCCTGTGATTTCCATCTTGAGTATGTCATGAAGATATATTTTATACAGAGATTGGGATTTATTATTCTTGATATTTTCCCTGAACATTATGGGTCTATTCAGAAAGAGAAAATGAAAAGGCAGCTGTAAAAAAGAAAGCAAGTTGGTTCCTGGAAAGGATCATAGAAAGTTGGAGAATACTAGCAC